GATCAGTATTTCCATGGCACTGAGTTTGCCCACAAGGCACATCTTACTGGCTTGGAACACGAGATGGTCACACCAAAGCGGGAGAAAGCCCAATTCCATACGCGCATGGTGGCAGGAGTGGAAGAACGTGAAAATGGGAAGCCTACCTGAAACTACTGCTGCAGCTGAGCTACCACATCTGATGCAGAGGCTGCTCACACAGTTATTCTCTGCCAAGCAGGCTAAACTTATGCTCCTGGATGGTTGTTACCTGCTCCTAAAGCCACCGACAAACACCTCGCGGGGGAGCAGAGATATTATTATTATGCGATTCCAGCATGGTTCAGATAAGCAAGCTTTCATGGTGGCAATCCGCAACAGGTCGCCGTACTGCTTCGAAGAGCATTCCTTAACATTCTACCCAGATCTATCCCGAGCAACACTGGACTGGCATAAGTCCCTACGACTGCTCACTTGGGAGCTTACCAACAAGAAGATTCCATACAAGTGGGGTACACCGAGATTCCTCTTAATACTCCGTGACTCTGGGACATTGAAGGTCTCTGAGGCCACAGAGGTAGCATGTACACTACAGAAGCTTGGGATATCCACCACTTCCAAGGGTTCATCACCCCCAGCACAAGTAAAAAACTACCTCATTTGTGCCTGCTGCCCAGAGAGGGAATTCTGCACCTGAAGCATTCTCCTGAAGAACTGCTTGCACATACCTCATTATTGTTTTATTTAGTTGTTCTGTGTCTCTCTTCTCATCTCCCTCTTCTTTTGTTTGATTTAATTGTACAACTCATGTCATGGTGAGTGCCTTTTGGAGCACATCCTATTCCTATACTATCTGCTGGATTGGTGTTAGCCCCATAATAATAAAACTCCACCCACTTATATCGGCCTTGAGAGAACTACCTGAACCTAGCAAAGTGGGCGACATCCCTTTTGTTCAGTTTTTTAAGTGCCTACACTTTATAACCTTTCTACAGTATAAAGAGGCGCAAGGCCTTCACTGCCCTTAAACGGTTACAGCCTACAAAGCCGGCCTTAGGGGTGTGCGAGGTGTGCGGTCACACAGGGTGCCATGGCAACAGGGACGCCCTGGCAGCCGACACAGCTCAATGTCTGCAGCTTTCATGTGCCGGCTGGGGAGAACAGGAGTCCTCCCCAGCCTGCCCACAGAATTTAACTACGCAGTACTTCCTGCATGGTAAGCAGGCAAGCAGCAGGGACCCACACTCTCTGCATGGTAAGCAGGCAAGCAGCAGGGACCCACACTCTCATACAATGCTGGCCGAGCAGCACTTCCACTCCCTGAGCTCAGTGTTCTGTGTGAGAGGGACAGATGTGACATCATAGCCTCGACCCCTTCTCACACAGAACAAGCACAGTGTGGGAAGCAGGGAGAAGTCTGTGTGAAGGCAGGGACAGACAGCCGGCACAGAATGGGATACAGGTAAGGACAGACAGCCGGCACAGCATGGGATACAGGTAAGAACAGACAGCCGGTACAGCATGGGATACAGGTAAGGACAGACAGCCGGCACAGCATGGGATACAGGTAAGAACAGACAGCCGGCACAGCATGGGATACAGGTAAGAACAGACAGCCGGCACAGCATTGGATACAGGTAAGAACAGACAGCCGGCACAGCATGGGATACAGGTAAGAACAGACAGGCACAGCATGGGATACAGTTAAGAACAGACAGCCGGCACAGCATGGGATACAGGTAAGAACAGACAGCAGGCACAGCATGGGATACAGGTAAGGACAGACAGCAGGCAGCATGGGATACAGGTAAGAACTGACAGCAGGCAGTATGGGATACAGGTAAGAACAGACAGCCGGCACAGCATGGGATACAGGTAAGAGAAGACAGCCGACACAGCATTGGATACAGGTTAGAACAGACAGCCGGCACAGCATGGGATACAGGTAAGAACAGACAGCCGGCACAGCATGGGATACAGGTAAGAACAGACAGCCGGCACAGCATGGGATACAGGTAAGAACAGACAGCCGGCACAGCATGGGATACAGGTAAGAACAGAGAGCCGGCACAGCAGGTAAGAACAGACAGCCGGCACAGCATGGGATACAGGTAAGAACAGACAGCCGGCACAGCATGGGATACAGGTAAGAGCAGACAGCAGGCACAGCATGGGATACAGGTAAGGACAGACAGCAGGCACAGCATGGGATACAGGTAAGGACAGGCAGCAGGCACAGCATGGGATACAGGCAGGGCCGGACTGGGAAAAAAATTCGGCCCGGGCATTTTTCAATCAGAGCGGCCCCCGAAGTAGGGGGCGGGGCTAGAGACAAACACGCCCCCTCTCAAAGTGAGCATGTTGGTTCAATGCGCAGAGCCCTGCTAAAGAGCTCTAGCATTAGAAAAAGGCCCTGTATTTGATTTAATAACATGCTTGCACTGTGTTTGCTTTTAAATTGTCTCTGGTGTCTGCACAAGTGGGATACCAGAGGACAAAAGGGCCAGGAAAGCGTATGGTGCATGTGTTTGGAGCCTGCTTGTGGGATTGCGTGTGTGTAGAGTGTGGTGTGGTTTTGTGTAAATAGGTCAATTTCATTTGTGTTTGTGGTGTAATATGTGTGGCTAGATGCAGTGTGTGTGTAGGAGATCTAGTGTGTAAAGGACTCAGAGTGTGTATAGGAGATTGCATGTGTGTGTGTTTGTGTGTAGAGGATTAAGAGTGCATATAGGGTAAGGGATCTAGCGTGTATCTGGAGCATAATGTGTGTAGTGGTGCAGTGTGAGGGGTGCTGTAGTGTGTATATATATATTTATATTTGGACGTATTGTATGTGTGAGGGGCGCAGTGTGTGTGTGTGTGTGTGTAAGAGGGGTGCTGTGTGTGAATGTGTTTTTATCTGCCGTCACATTCTAGGTTTTTTTTTGTCTGTTAACTCACTGAGGGTTATTTTATTTATTATATATATATATATATGTGTGTGTGTGTGTGTGTGCTGTATATGTGTGGGAGTGTGCTGTGTGTGGGTGCTGTGTGAGTGAGGGTGCTGTCTCTCTGAGGGAGCAGTGTCTGTCTGAGGGTACTGTGTGTGTCTGAGGGTGCTGTGTGTGTGTGCCTGAGGGTGCTGTGTGTGTGCCTGAGGGTGCTGTGTGCCTGAGGGTGCTGTGTGCCTGAGGGTGTTGTGTGTGTCTGGGTGCTGCGTGTGTGTCTGGGTGCTGTGTGTATCTGAGGGTGCTGTGTGTGTCTGGGTGCTGTGTGTGTGTCTGAGGGGTGTTGTGTGTGTGCGGTGCTCGCGTGTGTGTCTGGGTGCTGTGTGTGTCTGGGGTGCTGTGTGTGTGTCTGAGGGTGCTGTGCCTGGGGTGCTGTGTCCTGAGGTGTTGTGTGTCTGGGTGCTGTGTGTGTATCTGGGGTGCTGTGTGTGTCTGGGTGCTGTGTGTGTGTCTGAGGGTGTTGTGTGTGTCTGGGTGCTGTGTGTGTGTGTCTGGGTGCTGTGTGTGTCTGGGTGCTGTGTGTGTCTGAGGGTGCTGTGTGTGTCTGAGGGGGCTGTGTGTCTGAGGGGGCTGTGTGTCTGGGTGCTGCGTGTGTGTCTGGGTGCTGCGTGTGTGTCTGGGTGCTGCGTGTGTGTCTGGGTGCTGCGTGTGTCTGAGGGAGCTGTGTGTGTCTGAGGGTGCTGTGTGTGTCTGAGGGTGCTGTGTGTGTCTGAGTGCTGTGTGTGTCTGAGGGTGCTGTGTGTGTCTGAGGGTGTTGTGTGTGTCTGGGTGCTGTGTGTGTCTGAGGGTGCTGTGTGTGTCTGGGTGCTGTGTGTGTCTGAGGGTGCTGTGTGTGAGTGTGTGTGAGTGCTTATTTAAATTTAAAAATATATTTTTATATATAATAAAAAAAAAGTTATATCCCCCCCCTCCCTTCTTACCTTTAGCCTGGGAGGGGGGGGAACCGTTTTGCCTGGGACGGGGGGGGAGCCGTTCTGCCATGGGAGAGCCATGCTGCATTCCCTGGTGGTCCAGTGGTGAGAGTGAACTCTAACCTGCAGGCTAGAGTGCACTCTCGCGAGATCTGAGCGTTGCCGTGGTAACCGCGGCAACGCTCAGAATCCCGCGAGAGGACCCGGCGGAGCTGCTGGTTAGAGCTCCGCCGGTCCTCTCTCCTCCCTCTCCTCCCTCCGCCGGTTCTCTCTCCTCCCTCCGGTCCTGTCTTAGGTCCCCGGCGGCCGCGTGTAGCAGTGTCTGTGGGCCGGTGAGGGAGATCTTTGATCTCCCCACCGGCCCATGGAGGCACACAGCAGGGCTGGCGCTCGGGTAGCGCTGGCCCTGCAGGGGCCGGCCGGGGAGATCCTGTGATCTCCCTGCCGGCCTCGGCCCCACGGCCATCGCGGCCCACCGGGCATTTGCCCGGTATGCCCGATGGCCAGTCCGGGCCTGGCTCTCAGTTATGCCCTTTTTGGCAATAGGTACACATTGTTTATTACACTCTTACAGATGAACCCATCTCTTTAAAACCTGAACTGTACTTGCTTTACCATACCAGATATCTATTAGATCTTACCGCAGGTTAGTGCTCCTGTTTTTGGTCAATGCCGCACACAGTCCCATGCTGGGATTCAAGAGGCCGAATTCCATGCCCACGATCAGGGTTGAAAAAGTGGAGAACATATGTTCTATAGAGAAACTTATTGCTGCAGCCAGAGGTGAAAAAATACCACTGGAGCAGTTAGTTAAGAGATAACTGCCCCTTATGCCCCAAGGATGCATGTAGGACAGATGTCTCTCTTCCTTCCTGCCTCCCCCCTTTACTCATTTACCCTGGAAAAATAGTTTAATATATTTACACTAACACTCAAAACATCCATTAGAACCAGGTTTCTGGAATCAGGTTTTAAACTTCTTACACATTGATATTTCTCATTCAAGACCCTTCATTTTCTTTCCCTCTTGTCGTACCGTGTTCATTGTGCCTCCACCATTACTGTACCTGGCTTTAACATACATTGGCAGCACCTATCTATGCATGTACAACAAAACTAAGTTTATCATGATTGATATCTTGTTTATCTTGAACATCTGTAATACAACAAACAAACAAACCGTAATTGAATTGAATTGCACTGTATTTCCTGTGTGATATTTTGACGTTCTGTAACTACGCATGATTGTTGCTGCTTCAATAAAGATTTTAAAATAAATCAAAAATATGAAAAAAAATTGTCCCACTGTCCTACTTGTCCTTCTTGTCCTGACTGCCTTACTACAATAGAACTTTAAATGTTGTAAGGAACAGGCCATCAAGGCCATCAAAGAGGCTGTAACAGTACCTGTGTCTTTTTTCTGTGTTTTGCTTACTCAGCATCATTTAGATGGTGCAAGTCAGGGGTGTCCCAAAGATAGATCCCCAGATATTTTAAAATTAATACTTGGGTATTTGACCCAGCTTGTTTTGTTTACTACGTGTTCTGGATCCTTATAACTCAGAGTGGCTTACCAATTATCCCTGACATTTGCTTATTTTATGACTTCTCTCTTGTCATTTCATATAGCTGTAGACACAGCGATAAAGGGACACACTAAGCACCTAAACAGATTTAGCTTAATTAAGTGGTTTGGTTGTATAGATCATGTTACTGCAATCTCACTGCTCAGTTCTCTGCTATTTAAATTACTTTGTTTATGCAGGCTTAGCCATACCTCCCCTGGCTGAGACTCACACAGACTCTCTACACTCTTCTTTAAAAATAGTCTACATTTTTTATCTTTCATGCACAGTGTGTTTAATTTAGAATGTTTCTTTGCCTGCTCTGTCTGCTAGAGCCTGCTGCAGCCTCATGTGAGTGATTAGAGTTCAATGAACAGAGCAGCAGATAAGAAGCTAAGAACTTCTAGAATAATCAACAAGGGAAGGTGTAGCTGGAGCTGCATAAATAGAAAAAAAAGGTGATTTGGCACCTAAATTGCAGATAATTGATCAGTAAGACTGCATGGGGCATGATGTATACACCAACACTGCTTCATTAAGCTTTAGTTGTTTTGGTGCTTAGAGAGTCATTTGAGTCCGGCAACCATGATACCAGTAATACTCATCTATTCTGTAATTCTACTCATGCTGCATGCTGACTTTCCTTTGCATCCTAACAGTGACCCGCAGGTGACAAGAAGTAGAAAAGAAGAGTGGCTGTTCCACGCGCTGGGCTATTTTAGTAGAATATTTTAAATCATCGCATTAGAACAAAGTATCTCACATGTATTTTCTTACATTTTGCCAGAAGGGCATATTCAGCAACACACATATGCAGACTGCCCAGTGTGACATGACAACAGGTATCCATCATATTGGCTCACATTGGGTAGCAGGTGTATCTAACAGTAAGAGTATACTAAACCCATATTGCTGGACAGAGGGAAGGAAACAGATTAAGAATACCCTTTTGGGTTAGAACCCTCATTTGTCTTTCCCATTTCTTGTAACCCACCAGCTATCAAGCAAATGTATCTACTATAATCAATAACAACTAGTGCGGATTCAGAGTAGGCATTTTTCATAGTGGGCACTAAACACTGGACCTACCTGTCTTAAGGTATATTAAGGGATTATATTTGTGAAATAATTTTCATTTCCTTTTCTATTGTTGCGTTAAAAGGACACACTCCATTTTAATGACCTGGTTGTGTAGTAGAGATACACTCTCTTTATATCTAACAATGTATACACAGGGCCGCCATCAGGGGGTGACAACCATGGCGGTTGTCATGGGCCCGGCAGTCCTGGGGAGCCCGGACTGCTTTGGCAGTCCTGGGGAGCCCGGACTGCTTTGGCAGTCCTGGGCCCCACATTCCTTCTCTGCACATATATATAGCGATGATCGCTATATATATGTGCAGCTGCAGGACCCTGGCTCCCTGCATTTGCAGAGGGGGCCCAGCAGTCTGCAGGAGCACATTACAGCTCTTCCCTCTCTCTAATTCCCGCGAAAC